GCACCCACACCGCGGGCGTAGGCTGCCCTCCTCGTTACCCAGTAGTTACGCGTCGTCGGTTGATCTTTAAGACCCCCACTACCACACAATTACTCCGCACGCGCATAGTGGGGGATGGGGGCGCCTGCCCCCCTGTCACACACAGAGCTGCAGGGCAATCAGGGGATTGGGGAGCTCCCCCTATCAGGCACAGAGCAGGGCAGATAGGGTGGTTGTGGCCCCACCCCCTGTCACACACAGAGCCGCAGGGCGATCAGGGGGTTTGGGCGCTGCCCCGTCACGCTGATCCCGGTGCCGGGAGCCTCGCTGCTCCGCTGATCCTGGTGCTGGGAGGCATATTACCCTTTTACTATATAGGATAGAGGCCTGGTGCATGGGTGGGGGCCGGCTGGTTTGCCCTGAAGGGTGTTCTGGATCAGGGTGGGGGTCACCACTGGGGTGCCTGGCCAGTCTGGGTGAGGGGCTGAGGGTTGTTTTCCGGAAGCGAGTGACTGAAGCTTCCAACCGCTCCTTGTTTTCTTTTTTTTTTTTTTTATTCTGGGCCAGCTTTAGCTCTGAGGCCTCGCTGCTGAAAACATCGATACAATGTTGCTAAAGCCCCGCTGAATGAAAGCCGGTTTCTGGGGTTTTGTTTAGCTTCTTATTTGCAACATAGTACATAGTTGCTTAGAGTTGCAGCTGAGAGGCCGGCAAGTGAGGTGGGGAATGTTGGAGTCCGCAGTCACTGAAGCAAGCCTCCCTGCTCACTTCAGTGCATGGCTGCCGGCCGCGATCTTGGCTGACAGTTAATTTGCATATACTCACTGATTAGCCAATGAAAAGGGTAGCGGTCGTACGCTAATTACCATGTTTCTCTTTTATTAGTGTAGATAATGTATCAATATTGGCTCATCAAATGTACCACACTATGCAAGATGTTAATAATGAGGGAAGAGGGAGAGGGGAACTCTGTATTTTCCACTCAATGTTAATATAAATCTAAAACTGCTTTAAAAATCTATTAATTAAAAGAAAACCGCAAGCAGAATAGCTTTCGCAGAATGGTAAGGAATTTTCCATTTCTCTAGACTTTAGAGTCTAGAGCAGGGATTATCAAACTACTGCCTAGATTGGATTGCTATCTGTGTGTTTTTTTTTTTTAAATCCTCACCCGAGGATGTTTTCATTGATTTTTTTTTTAGAGAGAGAGAGAAGAGAGAAACATCAATGTGAGAGAGAAATATCCATCAGTTGCCTCCCCAATTGATAGATGCATGTCATTTTACAGTTGTCAAAACCCACAGAATGTACAACATTCTGTACACCCTGTACAAACTTTTGTTGTACAGGAGTATGTTCCAACCAACTGAGCCACCCAACCAGGGCTTTTTTTTTAAAGCTTTATAAAATTAAAAAAAAAAATTTCCTTTATTTTTGTTCTTTTGTTTTCTTTTTCTTTTTCCTTTTCTCTACAAATATATACTAGTGTGTGTATATATATATATATATATATATATATATATATATATATTTAATAATTTTTTATTGTTTAAAGTATTACATATGTTCCCTTTTATCCCCCATAGACCCCCTCCATACCCCACCTTGCTCCCTCCCCCACTTGGCTGTCACCACCCCATTGTCTGTGTCCATTTCCCCAAATATTTTTATTAATTTTTAGAGATAGAGAAAGATCAATGGGCTGCCACCTGCACGCACCCACTGGGGATCAAGCCAGCAACCCAGACATGTGCCCTGACTGGGAGTCAAACCAGCAACCCTCTGGTGCACAGGATGATGCCCAGGGCCTGCTAAGAATGACTTTTGAAAAAAATCTAAAGAATTAATATTTTGAGTTTGGCTCAGTGGATAGAGCATCAGCCTACAGACTGAAGGGTCCTGGTTTCAATTCCAGCGAAGGGCACATGCTCAGGTTGCGGGCTCTATTCCCAGTAGGGGGCGTGCAGGAGGCAGCCAATCAATGATTCTCTCTCATCATTGATGTTTCTATCTCTCCCTCTCCCTTCTTCTCTGAAATGAATAAAATAAATATATTTTTTAAAAAAGAATATTTTGTGATTCCTGAAATTTACATGAAATCTAAATCTAATACCCATTAAGTTTTACTGGAACACAGCCACACCTATTAGTTTACATATTAACTATGGCAGCTTTTATGCTACAATGGCAGAGCTATATAATTGTCAATGTTATAGACATTGTATGGCCCACAAAGTCTAAAATATTGACTACTTGGCTCTTCAGTCTTCATGGAATCAGAAGTTCTGAGTTCTAAACTGTATAAATGTGTGATATTGGGTGAGTCACTTACCATCTCTAGGACCAAACTATAAATTCCAGAATGTAACCTCATGGGTAAGTTCTTATTGGAAAGTGGGCCGGAATCCAGGCCATAACAAATCAAATACCTTCAGCTTTTCCAAAGTGGATCCATGCTATATAGATTTATTCTTGCTTTTAAGAAAACACTATAGCCCAGCCAGCATTGTTCAGTGGTTGAGCATTGACCTATGAACCAGGAGGTCACAGTTGGATTCCTGGTCAGGACACATGTCTGGGTTGCGGGCTCAGTCCCCAGTGTGGAGCATGCAGGAGGCAGCCAATCAATGATTCTCTCTCATCACTGATGTTTCTATCTCTCTCTCCTCCTCCCTTCCTCTCTGAAATAAAGAAAAAAACGTATTTAAAAAAAATACACCACTATGTAATTTTTTTAACCTAGAAAAATCCTGGCATGTATGAAAAGAAAACGAGAAATGTATAGGGATCACTGTAATTCTGATTATTATGAAGGAAAACTGGAAATGAATTAAATGTACAAAATAGGAGAAAAGTTAACAAATTATCTTATATCTATATGTTACCTCCCAATTAGGCAGATCTCCAAGTATCCAAGTGGAATGACTTCAAAGACATATTAAATGGGAAAAAAAGCATGTTACAAATTAACAGGTACAGAATGATCCCTTTGCTTTATAACACAACTATTTCTATATGTAGACATATTATTATTATTATTTAAAATATATTTTTATTGATTTTTTTACAGAGAGGAAGAGAGAGGGATAGAGAGTTAGAAACACCGATGAGAGAGAAACATCGATCAGCTGCCTCCTGCACATTCCCCACTGGGTATGTGCCCGCAACCAAGGTACATGCCCTTGACCGGAATTAAACCTGGGACCCTTGAGTCTGCAGGCCAACGCTCTATCCACTGAGCCAAACCGGTCAGGGCTGTAGACATATTATTGCATAAAATGAAAAGTCTAGACCAGTGCTGGCTAATAGAAATTATATTGCAAACATATGTGTAATTTTATATTTTCTAGTAGCCATATTAAAAAAGTAAAAAGAAAGAGGTTAAAATTCAATTTTATAATATACTAGAGTTCCGATGCATGAAATTTGTGCTGGAGGGGGGGGTCCCTCAGCCCACCCAGTGCCCTCTCACAATCTGGGACCCCTCAGGGGATGTCCGACTGCCAGTTTAGATCGGGTCTAAACCTGCAGTTGGACATCCCTCTCACAATCCAGGACCCCTCGCTCCTAACTGTTCACCTGCTTGCTCCTTACTGCCCGCCTGCTCGTTCATTACCGCTTGGCTCGCAGCTCCTTAGCGCTGCCCGGGAGGTAGTCTTGGCTCCCACCACCACTGCTGTGCTCGCCAGCCTAGCTTCTGGCTGAGCAGCGCTCCCACTGCGGGAGCTCACTGACCACCAGACGCTCCTGCATTAAGCGTCTGCCCCTGGTGATCAGTGCGCGTCATAGCCACTGGTCATTCCGCCATAAGGGTAGCTAGGCTTTTATTATATAGGATTTTATTTAACCCAATATGTAAAAACTTATTTCCATATGTAATCAATATAAAAAGTTAGTAACAAGATATTTTACATGCCTTTTTCATATTAAATCTTTGAAATGCAATTTGTATTTTACACTTGCAGTCCATCTCAGTTTGGGCCAGCTACATTCAAGCACTCAACAGCCCTGTGGCCAGTGCTATCAGACAGCACAGGTATAAACCCATCAAAGTGGTTATTCTGTTGGGAGAGTGGGTGAGGGGGGATGCTTTATTTTTCCTCCATATTCTTTTGTATTGTTCAATTAAAATTGTAATGTTTCATGTATTACTTTACTAAAAACAAATAATACCAGTCAGAATTATGTTGTGTAATACTTCATATTTCATTCTTTAATGTTTTATTAATCTTTTCTGTTTTTCAGTATTGAAAACACAGTAATAGCAAGAGAAGTAAAAAAGAGCTTATCAAAATGTGAACCATCCTGGCCGGTGTGGCTCCATGGTTGAACATTGACCTATGAACCAGGAGGTCATGGTTCAATTCCAGGTCAGGGCACATGCCTGGGTTGCGCTCCATCACCAATAGGGGGTGTTCAGGAGGTAGTCCATCAATGATTCTCTCTCATCGACATTGTATGGCCCACAAAATCTCTGAAATCAATAAAAAATATTTTTTAAAAATGTGAACCATTAAGTAATGAGACTATTAAACTGATTGAACTGAATACACATTTTCTGAGTTTGAGCTATTTGTGAAGAGTTAGGCTATATATGCATTATAGAACACAAAAAGAATGATACATTGTCCTAAAAGGCTTTCGGAGACAGCTTTGGAACTCCCTTTACAGCTTCCATATTCTCTTCAGGTTGGATTTGATTTCTAGCAATGGCCGAAAACCCTCCAGTTGGGTCCAGTAAATCAAGCTAAATATTTATGGTTTTGTCTAAAATGGACTGTGACTCTAGAGTCAAAGGAAAAATTTTATTATGTAACTTGCAAACTGGGAACTGCAAATTACTTCCAAAGACATTTATTGTTTGCAACAATAAATTAAGTGGATAATGCAACAAGGCAACTGTGGGAAAGGGCAGCTTAAAGTGGATACATTTTGGCCCTAGCCTGTTTGGCTCAGCGTATAGAGCAGTGGTTCCCAAACTTATTTGGCCTACCGCCCCCTTTCCAGAAAAAATATTACTCAGTGCCCCCTGGAAATTAATTTTTTTAAATTTTAATAGCAATTAAACAGAAAGATATATGTATTAATGTTTCTACATTTTTCGTAAAATATAGTAAAGAAAGGTGTAAATTAGAAACATTGAAGTTTGAAATTATGAAACTATTTATTGAACTCAGAATAGAAAGGTAATACAAAAAAAGTTAAAACAAATGCACCTGTGGCCATCACCGCCCCCCTGGATCGCTGCAGCGCCCAACAGGGGGCGGTAGCGCCCACTTTGGGAATCACTGGTATAGAGCATTGGCCTGTGGACTGTAGAGTTCTGGGTTCGATTCTGGTCAAGGGCACGTGCCTGGATTGCACGCTCGATCCCCAGTAGAGGGCGTGCAGGAGGCAACCAATCAATGATTCTCATCATTGATGTTTCTATCTCTCCCTTCCTCTCTGAAATCAATAAAAATATACTTTAAAATAATAATAATAAAAATAGCAGACTCAAGTTATTCTAAAAAAATAGATCGTTGGCTCTACCCACTGAGCCAAACCAGCTAGGGCGAGTCTGCTATTTTTAAAAGATTGGGACTAAAAAATGCCAAAAGTAAAGATAAGAGCGAAGGAGGAAAGGAGGCTATGTTTCCCCTTTGAAAATTTTTATAGAATCATTTTAAGCTGCAAGCGACCTAAATAAACCTAATGTCATTTTCTTTTTAAATATATTTTTATTGATTTCCGAGAAGAAGGGAGGAGGAGAGAAACGTCAATGATGAGAATCACTGATGGGCTGCCTCCGGCACGCCCCCTACTGGGGATGGAGCCTGAAACCCGGGCGTGTGCCCTGACCGGGAACCCATCGGTGCGCTCAACCACCGAGAACCCCGCCGGGCAAACCTCCTGCCACTTAATGGAGCGGAGTCAGGACAAGGCGGAGGTCAGCGGGGGACCACTGGAGGGAGTGCCCTGGGCCCGCGGTTCAGCATCGCTGCAGCCTGTTGACGGCCTCGACTCTCCCTCACCCCAGTGCTGGCGCCCCTGTCGCAGCAGCTCGCTCGGCCTCGGGGCCCAGCACCCCCACACTCCTACACCCTTCAGATTCCCCTCCGGGGAGGGGGCTTCTCAACATTGGTCGCTCCTCGGCCTCTGCCATCAGCCTTTGAGATCTCCCATCACCGGCCTTCCTCTTTGAGGGTCGATCGTCAGAACCCTCCTCCATTTCGGACGCCTACCTCTGCCTTCAGATCCTCCCCCTGAACGCAGCCTCCGGCCTCCCCACGGTCCCTTCCCTCGGTCTGCACGGGGTTTGAGGAACTTCTCCCCTCGGTCTGCAAGGTCTCCTCAGCCTCCTCCCTCGGTCTTCGGGGCCCCTCCCTCAGCCTGCGGGGCCCCGCCCTCCACGTGAAGAGTCCCCTCGCCCGGCCTGCGGGGTTCCCCAGCCCCGCACGCCCGCCCGCCCGCCCGCCTACCTCGCGGCCGCGGGCTCTCCCCGAGCTCGCACGCTCCGGCGCGATCTCGGGGGCGCGCACGCCGGGGCGGCGGCGACGCCGGGCCGCGCGCACAGCGTGCACGGTGACGTCAGTGCCCTGCCGGCGGCGGCGGCCGGCGGTAGTGCCGCCGGCGGCTCTAGGGCTGGTTTGTTCTGCTCTCCCCCAAGCCAAGGTGCCCGAAGCAGTGGCTGCAACGTTGGCGCCTGCCGGGCGGTGGCTCTCCGCGCAGCGGGCTCTCTGTAAACCAGGCAGACGGCGGGGCGCGACCGGCGGGCCCCGGCGCCCATAAGAAGCTCAAGAGAGAGTGCGCGCGCGGGGGGGGGGGGTCGAGCGCCCCACTTATTTTATGAGAGAAGAACAGTCTGATCTGGGGAGAAAAAAAATAGATAAGAGGAGACAGAGGTTTTTTTTTTACAGTCCCCCCTTATTTTTTTTTTTCGGTAAAAAGGGGGGGCGCCCCACTACGCAACCAATCCAACTGGGGAAGAGAAAGAAGGGGAGGCGGGGGAGACGCGGGTGGTGGGGGGATGGGGTAGCTTATCCGGGGGAAATTTAAGGGGGTTTTGTTTTGTGGGGGGGAGAGGTGTCCCCCTT